AAGAAAATGGGTAGTAGTATAGTGACCAGAAAGAGTAAAGGCAATGTTTATTCATATGAATGTATCATAAAACCAAGCAATATGGTGGGGAAAGAAAGAAGATGAATAGAATATGACAAAGTTAAGAAATCTATGTTTTTTTAAAATTTTATTTATTTGTGTGTGTGTGTGCACACGCGTGTGTGTGGCCAGCTCAGCCCACCAGGGGGTGGGGCTTGCTGGCACGTGGTGCTGGGGGATTGAACCGTGGTCCCTGTGCTTTGCTAAGCTTGTTTTAAGTAGGTGCTTTAGACCACTGAGCCATCTCACCAGCCCAAGAAATCTATGTTATAAAAGAAAAAAAAAAAGAAGAGAGAAAACATAAAATAACTACCCCAAACAAAATAAAACAAAACAATAAAAAACCACCAACTAGGGCTGGGGAGATAATGCAGTGGTCTAAGTGCCTCTCTGGTAATCACAAGGACCCAGGTTCAATCCCAGTACCACATTCTGTGTCACCCTGCCAGCCACTGAAACTGGACATGGTGGTGCATGCCTGTAATCCCAGCCCTGGGGAGGCTGAGACAGGAGGATCACTACAAGTCCAAGATGCATTGTAAGACCAATGTACCAAATGAATGAATGAATGAATGAAGAAACACTAATTGGACCAGAGAAGGAAAACCAATCAAATAAGCCAAGAACAATAAAAACAGTAAAATTCCTCAAGTATCTTCATTTCTGTGGTAGGTCTAACCAAGTCAGATGCCACCAATGTTTTGTACTCCAGCCAACTTTGCAGTAGGATTTGTGCTGGATATAGGGTTGATCTTAGCCTCTAGATGTGGGGGCGGGAGATGATTTTCTGTTGCTGGAGTTCTTCCCTAGTCCTTTGATTAAAAAAAAATTGCAGCCCCACCTGCCCACTTCTATTCCACTGAAGTGCACTTGTTCACCTAATCCAGATTCTTTATCATATTGTCACCGCTGCTTCAGACTTTTACACCGCACTGGTTCTGCTTGCACATCATCCTTTCCAGGACACTGGAGGACTCATCTGGTCTGGGCAAACATGTATGCCCCAACCAGCTGTGGTTGGGTTTGTGTTGGGTTTGCTTGTGCTACCCGCTTAGGCTGTCCTGTCCTGTTCTCAATTCAGCGTTTTATGAATTAAGGCATTTCATGGTGCTGTGGGTCTCATTCTTCCTCTTCAATATATGTCTGATGATTTAGGAGGCAGTGAACTTTGAAGATGTGACTGTGAATTTCACCAGAGAAGAGTGGGCTTTGCTGGATCCTTCCCAAAAGAAGCTTTATAGAGATGTGATGTGGGAAAACTTCAGGAACTTGGCTGCTATAGGTAAGGAAAGTATCACTTTTTTATGGTATCTGAGAGTATGGTTTGTTGCACATAAGTACAGTCTCCATAATTGCAATGTGGAAAAAATTTGGTGCATTTTCCAGGAATGATTACATTATATAATGAATCTAACTGGAATCTTAATTTTTATGAATATTAATATAGTTACTTTATTTCTGTTTGTGTACTTAAGGAAAAAATTGGGATGACGAGCAAATTGAACATGAATACAAAAACTACTGCAGAAAGATAAGGTAATTTTCAACCTCAAAATGTGTTCCTAAAGTCAGGGCATGAGGAGAAAAACTAAAAACAACCATTTCTCTATAGATGTGTACATATTGAGTATCTGTACTCTGAAAATTTAATACTTGATATAGTCCAATGTCTGAAATTGAAGGAGTACAGAGAATATGCTATAGGCAACATTATCTAATGTGTGAAAATAAAATAATTTTCCATGGTCAAGATTAAAAAAATGTTGAATGAAATTGCATGCAAATGTTGCACATAGATTTATTTGAAACATATATTGTGTTTGGACTAAAATCCTAGTTCAAGCTATGTAATTATATATACATGTGACAATGTTCAAAAGACCACTTTCATGTGAAGCAAATTATGTAAGAAAAAACATTAAACACATTGAATATTTGCCTCATGTTAGTCATATGCATGTATTCAAAATGCAAATGAATGCGTGATTCTGATAATAGCTCTTTGTAGAAAATCCTCCACATCATTCAGTTTACTTGTATCCCAAAGTATTTGGATACATCATCTCATAATCTTTTTTTTTTTTTTTAAATGTGTTTAGTACGGGGTCTACAGGGTCTCATTATAGATGAGACTTGTAGTGATTCTCTTGTTTTCAGCCTCCCAAGTGCTGGGATTACAGGTGCATGCCACCACACCCAGTCTCAATTGCTGTCTTAGTGCACCCCAGGGGTGGGGCCAGCACAGCATGCCAGATATCAAATCCTGGCTACTGTGCTCTGCCTAAGCTGGTGCTTTAGTCTGTTAAGCTATCTGGCCAGCCCTTCATCTCATATGCTTGCTGAGTAAGTCACAAACTACAACATCTAGGGAACTGTATAAAGATTTTTTTTTTTTTTTTTTTTTTTGCAGAACCGGGGATTGAACTCAGATCCTTGCGTTTGCCAGTCAAGCGCTTGTCCTACTGAGCCATCTCCCCGGCCCCTGTATAAAGATTTTTGAGGGGCTGGGGAGATGGCTCACTAGAATAAGTGCTTCCCTGGCAAGCTCAAGGGTCTGAGTTCAATCCCTGGTTCTGTCAAAAAAGATAAAGACTTTTGACCTTTTTGGGCTGGTGAGATAGCTAAGTGGACTAAGTGCCTGCTTAGTAAAACACAGGGACTGGGGGTTCGATCCCCGGTACTGCATGCCATGCCAGCCCTGCCCCTGGGTACACTGAGCCAGGCTTCTAGTCTGGGCATGGTGGTTCATGCCTCTAATCCAGGAGTCCGAGATGGGTAGTGAGACCCTGTACCAAACACATTAAAAAAAAAAAAAAAAGACTTTTGAATAGGGTGAAAAGAAATATTCCATTTTGCCTATTTTGTGGTACATGCCTATATTCCCAACACTTGGGCCATTGATGTGGGATTGTCATGAGTTAGAGGTCAACTTCGAGTAGAAAGTAAGTCAGCAGGAACTTGGACTACATAATGAGATGATGTCTAGACATATTAGAAACTTTTATCCAAAGGCTAAAGTAATCATATTGTGATAATACAAACAAGTCCATTATTGTAGCAGCACAATGTACAATATCCAGTTTTAGGAAGTATCCCACATGCTCATTCACAAAGGAATACACTAAGGAAATTGAGTAGCCTTAATGTGGTATTGCATGTTCTTAATCTTAATAATATGTGAATTTGTGAAAGGAAAGACATATTATTTGTGTTCAGCCTGGTAACAGTGCCTGATAAGACTCTGTTAAAATTAAAAATTAATAATACTGGAATGTAGTTCAGTGCTAAAACACTGGATTCTCAATGGAAAGCAGAAACACTGACATGACACTCAGCATTTGGAGGCAGATTTAAGTCAGTGGGCTCTGATCATGATTATTCCAAGAATATCATGGCCTGACCTCTGGTGGTCTACAACTTATATGAGATAAGCCAGCAGGAAGTATAGAGGCTGAATGGCTTGTCAGTTGGAGATTAGCTTATACAATATTCATCACAGTGCCAAGCTATATTACAATCACCACCCATTTGTAAGAAATAGGAGCAAACAGGAACTATTTACTGGTTAACTAAAAACAGAGGTATACTGTCTACAAGGGCATTTTTTGTGAGAGGTTCAGTCTCAAGTGCTGAAATAAATTTAGTGTGTCTACATAGTGGAGTAATACTTGACCATGGAGAGGAATGAAATGATGTCACTTAATAAAAGATGGTTGGATCCTGTGTGCATAGTCTTATGCTAAATTTGTGAGACAGAAACTTCACTGTTATGTGAGCCTTTGTATGAGAAACACAAGATATGAATTAAGGGATAAAGTAAAGCACAGATGGTAGAAAAGAGCAGTAGATGGTTTAGAGAATGTTAGGAAAGTTCAATCCCTGGTTCTGCAAGAAAAAAAAAAAATGTTTTAGGGGTGGGGAAATGGCTCAGTGGAATAAGCACTTCCCTGGCAAGCGCAAGGCCCTGATTTCAATCACCGATTCTGCAAAAAAAAACAAAACAATGACAACAAAAAAAAAAAACCCAGAATGTTAAAAAATTCAGTGGAAGACAGACGGAGTTTAGTTCTGGAGGAAGACTTATCAAAAGTAACCCACACATGATACACATATTTATGAATTACTCAAAATGAAAGTATAAGGTATTGCAGTCATGTGAATTATAAACTCACAAATGTACATTATACTTTTGGTAAAGGCTCCTTTCAAACCAGCTTCCAGAGATTACAGTAAATTCATGATTAAATATTAGAAGGCATTAAGCCTGATCTCCTCATGGTTAATTATTAATAAATTGATTTTATACTTAAAATTTTATGCTTGTTTGTATTATTTTACTTTTCTTTTACAGAAATGAAGAAATAAAGAAATGTTTACAATATCAATTATGGTATCAGCCTGAGGAAATGAGCTTTTGGACTGCAGAGATTAATATGAATATGAAACTAATTGGTGCAAAACCATGTGAAAGGTTTGTTTGCAGAAAGTCCTTCATTGATAAGTTATCACCAAAAGTTCCTGTCAGAGCCAACAGTAGACTTAAATCACATGAATATCAGGGATTTGAAGATGGGAAAACCTGCATTGACATCCACTGCTTTCACAAGCATGCAAATAAAAACCCTGAAGTGAAGCCCTATAAATATAAGCAAAAGTTAAAACACTACTCTGATCATCCTGAAGGAAGCAACACTGGAGAAAAGTCCTTTGTCTCTGAGCAAGAAGTAAAATCTTTGAATACACCCAACTCTGTTCAAATTAGAGAAAGATTTCCCAGTGAAGTGAATACCTATGAATGTATGCAGCATGAAAAAGTTTTTAATTCTCAGCATGATATTCAGATACACGAACGAGTTAACAGTGTAGAGAATCATTACATATCGAAGCAGTGTCAGGCATTATGCAGGAATAACTCCAAGGACTGTGCAAAAGCTTTTAGCACACTTCATCATCTTGAAAAATATCAAAGCACTCACACTGGGGAGAAACACTATACGTGTAGCCAATATGGGAAAACCTTTCACCTACGCAGTGGTCGTCAGAAACGTAAAAGAATTCACAATAGGGAAAAAGCCTATCTATGTAAACAATGTGGGAAAGAATTTAAATACCACAATGAATGTAAAACACATGAAAGAACTCACACTCAAGAGAAACCTTACGTATGTAACCAATGTGGGAAAGGCTTCAGCACACGCAGGTATTGTCAAATACATGAAAGAATTCACACTGGAGAGAAACCCTATGTATGTGATCAATGTGGGAAAAGATTTAAATCCCCCATTGAATGTAAAAGACATCAAAGAACTCACACTCCAAAGAAACCCTGTGTATGTAACCAATGTGGGAAAGCCTTTGCTACGCCCAGTCATTTTAAAAGACATGAAAGAATTCATTTTGAGGAGAAACCTTATGTATGTAACCAGTGTGGGAAAGGCTTCTTCATATACAGTTACTGTAAAAGACATGAAAGAACCCATTTTGGAGAGAAACCCTATGTATGTAACCAATGTGGGAAAGCCTTCAGCACACGCAGGTATTGTCAAATACATGAAAGGATTCACACTGGAGAGAAACCATATGTATGTGATCAATGTGGAAAAGGATTTAAATCCCCCATTGAATGTAAAAGACATCAAAGAACTCATACTGGAGAGAAGCCCTGTGTATGTAACCAATGTGGGAAAGCCTTTGCCACACACAGTTACTGTAAAAGACATGAAAGAACCCATTTTGGGGAGAAACCTTATGTGTGTAACCATTGTGGGAAAGCCTTTTTCATACACAGTCATTGTAAAAGACATGAAAGAACCCATTTTGGGGAGAAACCTTATGTATGTAACCAATGTGGGAAAGCCTTCAGTAGAAACAGTCATTGTAAAAGTCATGAAAGAACTCACACTGGGGAGAAACCCTTTGTATGTAACCAATGTGGTAAGGCCTTCAGTAGAAGCAGTCATTGTAAAACACATGAAAAAATTCACACTGGGGAGAAACCTTATGCATGTAAGCAATGTGGGAAAGCTTTCAGCAGATTAAGCCATTGCCAAAGACATGAAAATTCTCACAAGGTCTAAAGGCTATGTATTTAAGTAGTTTGCATAAACTTTACACATTACATTTGTAAAAGAGATGTATGTAAAGGATGTACAAAAGCCTTCAATAATCTAGTAATCATCACAGACTTAAAAATATAAGAGAAATTATGAATGAGTATATAAAATAACATAGAAATATTAAAGGACAGTGGAGAGAAGTTTTGTTTGTAAACAATTTAAAGAATCAATACCTAGAAGTATCACTACATAAAATAATAAGTAAAGAGAATCTGAATATATGTGAACAATGTTGAAAGGTTTTGTTTTTCAGTACATTCAAATATATGAAAGAATAGACATGTGAACGAAGCCATTCATATGTAATTAGTGTGACAAACCCTGTAATTTTGCCACTAATACTAAAGAGAAACCCTATGTGGATAATGTTATTGTATTGTTCTTGTTTTTGTTTTTCTTTAGTACCGAGGATCAAACTCGGGACCTTGGTGCTTGCCAGGCACACACTTACACCACTGAGTTATCTCCCCAGCCCCAGTAGATAATTTTAGAATGGTTTTTATAATTCCTATAAGCTCAGAAAACATACACACACAAAAGGGGAGATAATGTGGTTCAAGAGTCTTGGTAATGGCTTGTGGGAAGAGTTTGGAGATTAGGTTTCAGAATTTACAAAATGAATTTTTCCAGTAACATTTAGTAAAGAAGCTATCTTTCTTCCAGTGTGGTTATTTGGCACATTTGTGAAAGATAAGATTGCTGTGAAGTTGTTTCTACATCTTACAATCCATTCTGTTGATCCTCAAGTCTCTTTTGTTTGGGGTTTTTTAATTGTTTTTTCTTTTTCTTTCTTTATTTTCTTTTTCTTTCTTTTTTTTTTTGGCCACTACCATGCTATTTTTATCTTAATATCACAGTAGCTTTTTTTTTTTTTTTTTTTTGGTGGTACTGAGGATTGAACTCATGATCTTGAACTTGCCAGGCAAGCACTTATTCTACTGAGCTATCTCCCCAGCCGTACACAGTAGCTTTTTTTGTATAACTTCAAATCGGTGATTATTATGCCTTCTGCCTTTCTCTTGTTGCCCAGAATTTATTTTGCTATTCTACACTTTTTGTTTGGGCATACGAATTTTAGAATTGTTTTCTGTAGTTCTGTTTGATAGGCTATTGTTATACTGATTAAGATTGCATTAAATCTGCATAACAGTTTTGGAATTATGCCCATTTTCACTACATAATACTTGTCTAGCCCAAAATGGGGGGCATCTTTACATTTTATAACATCCTCTTGGATCACCTTTCAGAGTACTGGAGTTTCCAATGTGTAGGTCTTTCACTATCTTGGTTAGATTTATTCCAGCTATTTTATTTTATTATTTTTTATACTATTGTGAAAAGTGTGGTTTCCATAATTACTCTTAACAAGATGTTCATAATATTTATTTGAGTGTATTTTGGGTGTATGACAATATACACTTTTTGTTGTTTCTGTCTTTGTGTAATTTCTGTATGATTTTTTTAATAATGCCTAATTCTTCACTGTTACTGTTTTATACAAAAAGCATTTTTGTGCTTTTTTTTGCTTTTTTCTCTTTAGGTTTTGTTGGTGTTCTCGTTTTTTGCTCCTTATAGTGGAAACTGTAATAGTCTAAGAAGATAAATGTGAAAATCACATCTCTGTTTTTTCAGTGTGGAAGGAGGTTGTTGGCAGTGGTTGAAACTAGGTACTTCACTTGCTGACAAGAATCTGAGTGTAGGGCTGGTGAGATGGCTCAGTGGTCTAAAGCACCTACTTAGAACAAGCTTAGCAAAGCACAGGGACCACGGTTCAATCACCCAGCACCACATGCCAGCCAGCCCCCCCGCCCCCGGGGACTGAGCTGGCCACACACAAATAAATAAGTAAATAAATAAATTTTTTAAAAAAGAATTCTTTATTAAAAAAAAAAAAAAAGAATCTGAGTACAGAAATGTCTTGAGTTGTTTAGGTGTTGGGGAAGCACTGCTTTTTTTTTTTTTTTTCCTCTTTTTTTTCAGTTAAGACTTATTTAAACACCAAAATTTTGAAAATGCTTTTTTTCCCCCTCCACCGCTCTCTCAGAGGATTGAAGACATCTTTTTATGATTATCAGTGTCAGAATCTAGAAGTGATATGGACATGTAATTCAGCAAATCTTAGGATGATTAAATTCTACCCCCAGTTTTTGCTTTTTAAATTTGTCTTTTTCTTCTTCATTAGGATGCTTATCATCCTGACTTCTGTTCCTGAAGTTCATCAGAGTAATTAAGATTTCTGTCATTCTTCTTTCTTGTTTTCTAGTTTAGACTTTAAATATTCTTCATTTTGTTGTCATTGTTGTTGTAATTTTCACACTGGTTCTTAGTATGTCATACGAGCTGGCTTTAAACTGGCTTATTGAGCCCAGGCTAACCTGGAGATCATCTTGCCTCTGAAGAGTTTTGGATTATAAGTCAGTGTCCACAATTGTTATTGGGAAAGAAAGTTCTTAAAATGTCTTTTCTTTTGAACTGGAAAGTGAAATGTAAAGTGTCTGTGTTTGATTTCTGGTTACATTATTAAGCCTTCAACCCATATTCCATTTTTGTACCAATTCAAGACCATATAATCAAAAGCATACATGGTTGTAACATTGGATCAGATAGATACTTTGACATGCCAGTACTCTATCTGTGTGAGGGAATTCTTATTGTTCATTCCCTGTTGATATCAATAACCTCTTAGTTCAGCCTTTTTACTTCAGTCTCTCAATATATTTTGTATACGATTGAGAGTTCTCCTTAATTTTGAGTCCTCTGTCTTGTCAATTAAATTACTTTGAATGTCTCCATGGCCACAACTCCACTAGCATGAATATAAAAGGTACTTCAAGGGTAATAGAGGATATTGCACCATTAGTGGACAGGTATTCATTAATCATTTTTTTTTTTTTTTTACCTGCAATTCACCTAATGGCCACTGATATCTTCTATGATTTGTCAGAGAAATTCATCATATTCATCTATCACAATTTCTTTTATCAATATTTGGAGTCTGATCTTGTAAGCTCACTCTGTAAATTGTGCTTTAGAGAAAGTATACAAGTAAAACTTAAGAATAATGAATAAGACAACCAATGATCCCAATCTGATATTACTTCAACAGTGAATTCCAATACAGCCTCGAAATTCCCATGTGAGATGTACATATGCATGGAGAATGTTTGCTTCATTATAAAACTATGAACTGTATACTTGAAAGACACAGCCTAATTTACATTTTTTTTAAAAATTGGAAAAAATAAAACATTTCAAAATAAAATAATTAAAATTAATTAATATATTGTGCATTGTTATCTTCAAAGTAGTTTTTCAGAGTATTTAAGATATGCCCATATAAATTCTCTGATATTAGCACAAGAGTATTTTCAGTGTAATAGAAATGAACAATATAAGAATCCCATATTTGCCCTCCCTTTATTTCCTCTTTTAATAGATTTTTATTTTTTAAAGAATACAAAATAGTGTTAAAACAAAAACTTACAAATGATACAAAATTTCAAAAAATAAAATAACATGAATTTCACAGTATTTGTTGTATTACATAGTGTTGTCTTCAATTAGTTGTTCATATTATAAGATATATAAAACATTAAGAAGAGGATAAAGAATTGAAAGAAGACAACAAATTAACCATTAATTGTCCTTTCCATAGATAAGCAGAAATTCATAGTACAATTGTCCAAACCATCCTGCTTGTGTACATAGATATATCTCTTTCCCCCACTCCCTCTCTCATCCTTCTGCTCATCTCTAATTCCTTCTGAACAAGCTCATTCCCTGTCCCAGTATCTATTGTACCCTTCATATTCTTTCCTTCCTTTCTCTTCTCTTCTCTTCTCTTCTCTTCTCTTCTCTTCTCTTCTCTTCTCTTCTCTTCTCTTCTCTTCTCTTCTCTTCTCTTCTCTTCTTCCTTCCTTCCTTCCTTCCTTCCTTCCTTCCTTCCTTCCTTCCTTCCTTCCTTCTATATTTAGTATAGGGTCTCAATACACAGCTGGGATTTGTAGTGATCCTCTTGTTTTCAGCTTCCCAAGTGCTGAGATTACAGGTGTGCACCACCAACCAGCCTCAATCACCGCCTCAGCATGCCCCATGGGCAGGGCCAGCATGGCACGCCAGGGATAGAACCCTAGTCCCTGTGCTCTACCTAACCAGCTGCTTTAGTCCACTGAGATATATTGCCAGCTCTTATTTTCTTCCAGGATCTTACACTAAAGAGAAAGTACAATGTTTGCACATGTGGGCCTGATTTATTTAACTTAATATGTTCTCTAGTTGCATACATTTATAATAAAATCCTCAAATTTATCCTGTTTTATAGCTGAATAATACTACATTGTGTAAAATTTCATCTTTATGCAGTTAATGGCCATTTGGGTTGCTTCTAAAATTTAGCTATGATAAATTGTACTGCTGTAAACATGGGTGCACATAAATCTCTGAGGTATGATGTTTTCATTTCTTCTGGAAAAATACCTAGGGGGGAAATAGCTGGCTTGAATAGGACCTCCAATCCTAGCTTTTGGAGGAATCTCCACACTGATTTCCATAGTGGTTGTACAAATTTGCACTCCCACCAACTGGAGAAGGGTTCCTTTTTCCCCACAGTCCTTCTAGAATTTGTTACTGGCTGACTTCTTGATGTTAGCCATTCTGTCTGGGGTGAGATGCAATCTCAGTGTTGTTTTAATTTGCATTTATTGAATGACCAATGATATTGAACTTCTTTTTCATATATTTACTTGTCATTTGTATTTATCAGAAAAGTGTATGTTCATCTCAGATGCCCATTTTTGCATTGGGTCTTTGAATTTTGGGGGCCTGATTTTTAAAAATTCTTTATATGTTCTAACTAGAAGTCCTTTGTTATAGGAACAGCTGGATATAATTTTTCCCCAATTTGTGAGTTTTCCTTTTACTCTGTTGGAGATTTCTTTTGATGTGTAGAAACTTTTCAAAAAGATGAGATTCCAGTTGTTGATTCTTTGAAGTTGTTTCCTGTGCAGTTTGGGTTTTGTTCATGAAGTAACTACTACTATATCTTCAAGATTTTTACCTACATTTTCCTCCAGGAGATTTAGTTTCTATTTTAGTGTTTAAATGTTTGATCTATTTTGACTGTAGCTTAGTGCATGGTAATAGACGTGGGTCTAATTTTAGCCTTTGCCATGTGGAAAGCCAGTTTTTCCAGCACCATTTGTTAAAGAGGCTGTGTTTCTTCCAGTGCACAAATTTAGCCCCTTTGTCAAAAATGAGGTGGCTGAGTGTGTTTGTACTTGTGTCTGTATTTTCTTTTCTATTTCATTGATTTTTAGGTCTGTTTTTATGCCAGTACCATGAAGATTTTATCACAGGAGCTTTGTAGTATAATTTCAGGTCAGGGATTGTGACACTTACTGTCTTTCCTTTGTTACCCAAGATTCCTTTTTATATTTGGGGTCACTTCTGGTTCCAGATGAATTTTAGAAATGTTTTCTCTAGCTCTGTGAGGTAGAGAATTAATGGTACTTTAATTGGGATTGCATTGAATATGTATAATAATTTTGGGAGTATGGCCATTTTCACAATGTTGTTTCTTATCCAGGAGCAAGGAATATCTTTCCATTTTCTGAAATCCAATCTTTTACTTTCTTTGTTAGATTGCTTCCTAAGTCTGTCTGTCAGTCTGTCTGTCTATCCACCCATCTGTCCATCCTCCCTTCCTTGTTTCTTTCTTTCTTCTCTTTTTTTCTTTTGATGTTATTGTGAAAGGCATGGTTTCCCTAATTTCTCTCTTGGTGTGTACATTGTGTACAAAAATGCTAATTTTTTTGAAATTTAAAGAAAAAATTTATTGAAGATCTAAAAAACAATTCCTAAAAGATCGACTTTTCCAGAAAACTGTAGCTACACAATGCATTGTGTCTATCATGTTAAAACGTGCATTAGACACAAATACAAAAACCATGAAACAATTCACCATCCTTCAACAACTTGAGCAAAGGTAAATGCCTAAGGAACAACATGGATGACTTGCAAAGGAAGGGCTCTTTAAGCATCATTTAAAAAAAGCACAAATGGATGTGTGTGTTCAGTTATATACACTGAATTGGACCTGTGGCACTAGGAATCAGAGCATTTTGTCATATAGCATTAACACATTATAAAAGTGCATAGTGTCAAAGGAATAGAACCACCAGCGCTCAAAAGCAGCTTTATCAACTAGGCAATAAAACACTCCAGCATGTCTCTCTGTTGTCCATCACTGAATACACTGGTAGCAACTTTGAAATGAAAAAAAAGAAAAAAGGAGCTGTAATCCCTTTTATTTTCTGTTTAAGATCAAACAAAACAAACAACTCTGTTATACACTAACATCTTCAAAGTACATCATTTGTACAAGAGAAAAACTAGGAACAAAAACATGTCGACAGAGATCCAAACACCGGTGAGTGCGCCTCACACTGCTTTCTGATGGTACTCAGGAGGGGCCACTACATAATCACTGGCACTAAACAAAGTTGCCGAATTCTTTGCCAGATACTTGAGGAAATCATGAAGATAATTCAGTAATAATGCAAGGCTCTTCTCATCCAGAGGTGTATAGGCCAACATTGCTCCAATTCGGACAAATAATCTCAGTAGATGTGGTGCTCCATACATGTGGGATGTGAGTGCATTAGGGTGATCAGCAAGGATCTCAGTGTACTGTGGTCTCTCAAATTTGTAGAGGAGCTGAGTGCCCAGCATCACATTGAAGTATTCTTTTATTCCTGCTACAACCTCATTAACAGCATACTCTGTGTTTCCTCGGGATTTCTTATAATTTGCATAGTCCTCTAGAATGGAGTCCACATTCTTGGCAGGAAAATAGAACAGCTGTTTCTATCTGGTAATTAGATCCCAGTCATCAACAAGCCACGGCTTTAGCTCTTCAGGGATCCTTTACTTTAACTTCAACTCTGTTCATAAATGTTTCTTCATTTTCAACACTAGGATCAACCCAGGCCCTCTTCTGCCAAGGAGGCTGAGGTGCTTCACTGGTACTGCCACCATCTCCATTACCAGGGGTTTTTTGTTTGTTCCTTTTAGTTTTCATGTCAACATTTTTCTGTTGCAGACCAGATGTCTTCTTTCCTGGAGCAGCCCCTCTCATCTTTCCCTCTGCATACTGCTCCTGATTGGCCTTTTGAAGTCCACGCTCTGTCTGCAGATTGGTATCCACATACTTGAGCACTCTGCTTTCTGGAAC